TCAACTTCATTTGCAACTTTAATTCTTCTTTCTCCTCTTTACAGGGTCCTCCTCATACGGAATCCCTGTAATGAATTTGCAACATGAACAGTTGCTTCTGAATCAATCCACCATGTAGATTTTCCATAACTTAAAAACAAGGATTCATCTATGAATGTAATGATATTCTCATCTCTCTTCAGATGGCTCTTCAGGAAGTCTAGACAGTCTCTCTGGTAATGTCCATGCTTCTTGCACCATTTACACTGATCCTTCTCAACTTGAGCATTGTTGTTCTTCTGATGGTGGTCATTCTGAGGGGCTTTCCCTTGATTTTTGATATTCTTATTGAAATTCTTCTTTTTATTGTCCCTCACAAGGTTAGCAGAGTCACCCTGTGAGCTTTTCAGCCTCTCCTCTTCTTGAACACACATTACGATGAACTTCTCTATATCCCACTTATCGGGCTGCATGTTGTAATTTACAACAAAAGTTTCATATTCCTTATGCAAGGAAGCAAAACCCAAATAAATTAGGAACTCATTCTTGAGCCCCAAACCCATTGGCTTCAGTTTCGAAGCCGTGTTGCTCATCTTCAGTATGTTCTCTCTTATACCGCCACCAGTGTATTTCTCATTGAACAATTTCATAATCAGAGTACTAGCATAAGCCTTTGAAGAGCTAGTAAATTGACTCTATTTTCTTGAGGTATTCTGTGGCGGTGTCACAATCTAGGATAGATCCCCTTATCTCATCTAAAATAGTGGTCTTAGCCACCATCAAGCACTTGCGGTTTGAAATGTTCCATTTCTTGCGTTAGAGATCATATTTCATTCGCACTTCTGCATGATCTCGCTGCTGAGTAGTGAAATCAGCATCAGTCTCATTATCTACCCTCACCGGATCCACTGGCTCAGTAGGACACGGGGAGGTAAGCACTAGGTCATTTTTAGATGGCGCAAGTGCTAGTTCATACTTCTCTCGCCATACCCTATAGTTGCCCCCTTCTAGAGGCGGTATGTGCGAGATAAATGCTATTGAGTTGAGTCCTGAAAAACACCGTCAGAGATAGTGGAAAAATATGACATAATAATTGCATGCCTTAATTTAACGTTGGTCAAAATTAGAACATACAACTTTCTTATACACTAATTCTACATCACCGTTGGACAGAAATAGAATTAATGCATGGAAAAACTTATTAATAAACATTATAATATTGCTATTATCAACGTTGGTCAGAAAAATAACAATATTATAATTTGCTGACTAAAAATAACTGATCTTCAAATTAAATTCTCCCATTGGTTTGAATTTAATTAGAAGATGATAAACTTTAACATTGCAGCGGAAACATGAAAAAATAATTTATCTATTTTTCAGAAGCATTTTACTGTACTCATCTACTCTCTGAAAAAATTATCCCGTTGGTTCAAATTTTGACAGAGATTTAAACTAGACAAAAGCATCAAAAATTTGCTTCTGAAAACAATAAAACAAAAACTCTACTTTTACTGTTCATTCAGTCCGGCCTAGTGAAACAGTCCGCGACCCATCTCTTTTTCGTATCCACGCGCGCGGCCCAGCGGCGGCTCAACACGGCGCGCGCGCCCGCTCCCCCGTGCCCAGGCCACAACCTAGGCCTGGGCCGAGAATCTCCAATCCCGCCTGAGCCGCTTTTGGCCTGATTTGTTCTGAGGCGTCGATCATCATCCGACGGTCAGGCGTCATTCTCGCGAGATCAAAACTCCCCCGCCGTGACGGTGCGCCCTAACCCTAGTTCATTCGCGTTCTTTCTCTCCCCCTCTCTTCTCTCTCACCCGGTGGCGTCCGAAGCGGCCGCACAAGGCAACCGAAGGAGGAGTGTGGTGCCGCCGCGGGCCCCCTCGCCGGAGCGCGCGCTCCCTTGTGGGTGAGCGCGCCCACTGTCGAGTGGCCTCGCGTCGGCGCCCTTAGCCCACGCGGCGGCGACCCAGCGTCGAGCGGTGGCTTGGCCCAGTCTGCTCGCGCGACGGCGGTGGTGACGCACGGCGGGGAGTTCGGGTAGGTCCTCCCCTTCTTCGTCCTTACTCTCTTGCGGTTTGGATTAGGGTTTTGTATTGAGTTAGGGTTTCGATCCGATTGGCAAATCGAGTCCCCTCTTTCTACTTTCTTGTTCTGATCTACTCCAGGAGCTAGATCTACGCCTAGTTAGACATCTGATACCATTGATAGTACTAACAGGATCCACTAGACATAGATCTAGCATGTAGAACTGACATTGGAATGAAATAGTAAACCCTAGAACGAAATCTAGTGCGAGCAAACAGAGAGAGAGATGCGGGGTGGCAAACCATCGACCGCCTTCGTAGAAGACGAGCTGGCCATCGTGGTGCTTGTCGGTGAGGCGGTGAAGTCCGGCGGTGAAGGCGCGGTCACAGTGGCGGTGGTGCAAAGGCGGCGGTGGCCGGTGGCGGTGCTTCCCGTCGCTGGCAGCGCCCCCTCTCTAGATCGGCTAGGGTTAGGATGTAGGTGGGGTTTCTAGCGGCGCAGGTGAACCTCGTGCCTTGTGTTTCGGCCCCACCGTTCTTTTTATGGCGCTGTGCGACGGAGACCCACCAACCATAAAACAGTTGGGCGCCCCCGATCAGGGCGCGGATCATGGGTCTAATTGGCTGTTGGGCCAAGTTGGTGGAGAGATCAACATAACACTACATTGTTAGTACTTAGTACATAATTTATGTGAGTAGCTAGGTAGCTAGTGATACCAGTAATCAGGCATTTGCAGAAGGATCAAGATTCAAGCAGGGGCTTGTGCCGTGCATTCGCCCTGCTGCCTGCTGCCAAGTCATCAGATCCAGATCCAGGTCGTGTGTGTGGTGCTGTCTAGTAATTAAAGTCTAAAATGGTTACGTGTCTTGCATTGCCTGGAATTCATGTGCATTTCTGCCTAAAATGTGTGCTTATATACGACAAGTGATGTTATTGTTGTGGTGTGTTCCTCTGCCTGCCTTACCTGTCAGTCAAACTAAAAGGAGATAAAATTTCGCGGTCTCAGGCCTGGTTTAGATTGCAAATTTTTACAATTGGGATACTGTAGCACGTTTCGTTTGTATTTGATAAACTTTGTCCGATTATGGACTAACTAGGCTCAAAAGATCCATCTCGTGATTTATAACCAAACTGTGTAATTAGTTATTTTTTTACCTATATTTAATGCTCTATACATACGTCCAAAAATTAATATGATGAAAAGAGAGTGAAAAAACTTGGAATTTAGAGTTGATCTAAACAAGGCCTCAGTAGTAGTCAGTACTGGATGACCGGCAAGGTGGAGTTGGTGAGCATCCATCTGACAATCTCCATCCCAGTGGCGACTAGCGTGCTGTGTGCTCTGCTCCTCGATCACCGTCCTTGTGGTATCTGAATTCCGAAGAAATCAATTTCAGCGATCTGGTGCAGCAGAGGCCCGTACGTGTTGCTGGGACGCCTTCCATGGCAACGCCGTTTTAAGTTCCTTCTCTAAAATTTACTCTATATTTTATTAAATATTTGGACACATGTATAGAGTTTTAAATATAGACGAAAAAATAATTAATTACACAGTTTACGATTAATTTACGAGATGAATCTTTTAAGCCTAATTAATCCACGATTTGACAATGTGGCGCTATAGTAACATATGTGCTAATGATATATTACTTAGGCTTAATAAATTCATCTCGCGGATTAATTTCTCGTGTGGTTATTAAAATTTTGCTAAAAAATGTGGTGCTACAGTAACACATGTCCGGATGAATTAATTTAATTGACCCTCTAAAATATTTTTGATGTTTTATGACATATTATTTAGTTTCTCATGTGGTTATTAAAAATTTGCATTGATTCAAGTTTAATTTATTTCGTTTTTTTTCTAAAAAAGAATTAGATTGCCGTCCCAACCATATAGTTTTAATAGTCATAGTCTCTTATACAAAATATTATCCTCTGTCTCTAACCAAGGTTTTGCCGCTAATTTGAACAAGTACATTGGTGTTAACCTCATGTGTTGACACATAATTTTGATACTGCTTTAAGCTATTATCTTGTAGTGCATTCACAATCCATTAGATTTTTGCATAGAAAAATGATTGTTATGAGTAGTCTTATATAGTGTCAGGATTTAGCTTATAATCGAGTTGATTGATTTGTGAAACACCTCTCTAATCCCTAACCTCTTACAATTTCCAGCATGTCAATCCATGAGTTGGCTTACAAATGAAATTAGCGACGTGTACCAATGTACTCCCTCGGTTCCAAATTATAAGTTGTTTTGACTTTTTTGTTTCATCCATTTAGATATGTATCTTGACATATAATCATATCTAGATGCATAGTAAAATGGATATATCAAATAAAAGTTAAAGACTTGTAATTTGGAACGGAGGGATTATATACCTAAATGTCTGCTGTGTTTTTTGTGTGTGTGGGGGGGTGGGGGGGTTCGTTATCTTTATACCTGGGCTCCGGTCCCTCTACTCGTTATCGATCCACGCCTCGTCTTCGCATGCACGCTTGGATCGTTCTCTCAGAGATATTTTTGAAGGAAAGTCTCTCAGAGATATTGTCTGGACAGACAATCGATCATAGTTACAAAGTGTTCAAAATCGGACGCTCAGGAAGATTACATGGCCAAACAACTTTACCACACCTCCATCCAAACATGCACTCGCTATGCTTCGGGCCGCTCCATTTTAAAACAAAAATGAAGAACAATTTTGCACTAGTCTCTCTCTCTCTCTCTCTCTCTCTCTCTCTCTCTCTCTCTCTCTCTCTCTCTCTGCAATATGCATGCTTTGATTTGTATTCCATTCACAAGGTATTTTCACAACGACAATTCCATCTTTACAGTCGTGGAGACCAATTCTTTTCCATCATACAAGGATTTCAAGACTATATATGCACAGGGCACATCAGGGAAGTTAGCAAACAACCTGAGGAGAAGCCATAGCTACAAACTATCGTACGTACAGAGGCATCATTTTCATATCACCTGGCAACCTTCACGCCGCGGCAGTCTGTTGCACGGCGGCTGCGGCGCCACCGGCCGCCCGCGTCTCCACCGACGACGCCGGCGGCGCGGACGCCTCCATCTTGGCAATGCCGCCGTGGTGAGGCAGGCCGAACCCGCCTTCCATGCCGTCGTCGTCGTAGTAGGCGACGCGGTCCCTGCGCGGGCGGGGCCGCATGTACTTCTTGGTGCAGACCTGCCCCACGAGGCAGGAGATCACCAGCAGCGCCGCGATCACTCCCAGCACCACGAACACCGGCGTGTACGACCCGCCGCCCCCGCCGTCGCCGGCGGCCAGCGACGGCGCCTGCTGCTGCAGCGGGCGCGTGCCGCCGGCGGGGAAGAGTGGCGCCGCCGTCGTCGAGGACGACATCGTTCGTTGCTAGTCCTATACTACCTGCTAGTGCTAGCTCGCTTGCTTGCTTCGGATCCAATTCCTTTCCTCAATCTGGCCAGCACACAGCACAGCCCGTGATCGTGCACACGGCGGCTTTTATTTGTTTGCGGCGCCCTGGCTGCAGAGATATGCTTGGAGTGAGCTTAAAGGCTGCGGTTAGATAGTGTGGACGGGGAGGTTTGGATCTTGCAGACTTGCAGTGCAGGGGTCTGCATCTTTGCAAGCGTGCCCCTTTTGGCCATGGCAAAGCTAAGGATACGACATGCCGCTACGTGTCAGTATATTAGTTCAGTTTGCCCAGAGAATCTTTATCTGAAGAAAAAGGTTCGCCCAGAGAATGAATGAGAATTTGGTGTGAGTTCATAGCAGTAGAACAAACAAAGAGTTCTATCAGGTGTCAGGGTGCTGGGGATTCGTTTTAGCCTGAATCTTGAGGAGTGGAGAGAGGCATATGCCTTATTAGCCATTCCAAGGATATGCAATGTCAGCACGTCCCAGCCAGATGTGTCAACCTGTGCTTGGATGAAGAGAAGCTCAAGTGACGCCACGTCATCCGTCAGCTACACGGTTGAGTTGCAAGTCAAAGTCAACGGCAAGCGATGAGAGAGAGAGGGGAGAAATACATGCGTCTAGAAAGGGATGGATAAGATCAAGGTTGGCTTAGATTTTTTTTTTATATATAAATATTGTTCTTTATTTTTCAATAGAAATAGTAACACTGTTCTTTGGAGATAAGATCATAGTTATTTTTCTAATTAACTTACGTACTGTTGTTTCCTGTATTTTTCCTATGTGGTTCATCCAAACATCCTGTATTTTTCCTATGTAGTTCATCCAAAGTACGTACAAAGTACAAAATTCCTATGTTTCTGAATCCTCCGTTTTCTACCTCCATTTTCCCATGTTGTTCCTGGGCCCCAACAAAAATGGCTCGACCCTAGCTCTTCAACGTGGAACAGCTTTCTCTGATGGAGATAGAGTTATATTAGAAAATGTTTAACAAAAATGGCTCCAGCCACAATTTTATAGCACTTTTTTCGGCTCTAACTTTTGTATAAAAAAATGTTCTTAGCTCCTCCGGGCTCCTCGCAAGGAGTCGTAACAGATGCCGTTTGTCAGAGCTTCTTGCAAAGAGAGGCAAGAAGTCAAAGCCGGACCCCTGATCTCAACAACATTGCTCACTCAATCTAAGCATGCATGCTCCGACTAAGCAGATAAGGGCAAGGGGCAGACCTTATTTATGTGCAGAACCACACTGCAGCAAGTTCGCTTATTCGATGAAACCCAAACATCGTAGCCACCTAGCTTATATATACATGCTCTCTTGGCGCATGAGTTCCTCGCTCGTTATATATACGTACTACTCTGCTCGCTCGAGGTAGCTGCGCTCTTATGGGGATGGGATGTCCTGCTCCTCTGTCTTGGCCAGCTTCCCTTTCTTTGCCTCGTAATCCTTCACGGCGGCCTTGATTGCATCCTCAGCGAGCATGCTGCAGTGGAGCTTTACCGGTGGAAGAGACAGGTGCTTCGCAATCTCGCTGCAAAAATGGAAAGACGTAGACAGATGTATCAGTACAACTCCAAGAAATATGGAATGGGACGACGAATTCCAGGCCGATTCATAACTTGCGTGTTTTTGATCGCTACTACTTCCTCCATTTGCTTGCCCTTGACCCATTCGGTAGCTGTAACACAGCAGAAATGAATAAGGAACCAACTATATATTCAAAAAATGGGTATAAAATTATAAGGAAAAAATGCTAGGAGGAAAAAAACACTGATGGATGAAATCAAGTCAGTAAAATAAAAACTAAGCAGGTATGGCATGGCAGACTTCTGCACGGTGAGCTGTGTGGAGGTTGAGCCATCCAAACACAGATACGAAATGGCATGGCAACTGAGCATCGATACCTAGTAGTGTGAGTTCTACTGTTCTAGGCTCGACATGCGCTATACAAAACACTGAGCGTAAAAAGTAGTATTATAACCTGCAAAATATAAGCATACAGTCATTTAACCTTGTGACCTTCTTTAGTCTAAAAGGGTCATATCCAAGTGCATAATTCACCCAAATAGATAACTTATAAATTATGGTAACAACATTGTTAGTTGTAAAACCACAATATTATATTAGCTAAATCACCAAAAGTATGTCCGTTATGACAAAATCAGCACCCCTGCTTGGTTGAATATAAGATTGATGGTGGCTCCACATAAGCTGCATAAACTAAAGTTGTGAAGTGGATGCAATTGCCAAAAGAATAAGTAAACCCACATTGTGCATAGCTGGAATAGCTCAGTTGGTTAGAGCGTGTGGCTGCTAACCACAAGGTCGGAGGTGCAAGCGCCGCTTTTTTTTTTTCTTTTTTATTAGTTTAGTGGGCCCAAGTTTTTACAGCAATATTAAGATATTCCCTTACTGTTTTTACCTCAAAATGGATATGTAGTTCTTTCAGACTTTGCTATCTACTAAATGAAAAGGCACTGCACCTACCAGTTCTATTTTTTTTTAAAAAAGATATGTAGTTCTGAACACCTGGCACTAGTAAACTAATCAACCATATGAACAAGGTTTTTGTTCACAATGGATTTAAGTTCTGAACACCTTCTTTTTTTGAGAAAATTTAAGTTCTGAACACCTGGCAGACCGACACAGCGAACAAGGTTTTTGTTCACAATGGATCTAAGTTCTGAACACCATATGAAGTTTTTTTTGTTCATTATCTTCCTATTATTATTTTTCAGAGTATATGAACCAGGACGCCTTACAGGCTCACAAGAGACTTCAACCACAACAAAGAACTTAGTCAGTCAATGCCATAACTATGGACTACTACTAAATAGTAAGTGATTACCACAGAAACACAATTGTGACTCTGGTACTCATCTCAACATTTAGTAGCGCCCCAATTGTTAATGAAAACCAATGTGATGCCATTCGTTTTCAAATTGTAAGTTGTTCTATTTTTCTATTATGTATATAATTACACTATGTTTAAATACACAATTAAAGCCCAGGAATATTGTGTTCTTGCCCTTACTTTGATGTCCAATTGTGATTTTACCCTCGTTTTTGTCGTCGTTGTGATTTTACCCCTGTTTTGTAACAACTAAGCCTCAGTTTACCCTTACTTTCAACTCTATCAGTTATATCCCTTCACAGAAGACCAAAGGGACGACAACCCTTATCCGCTTTCGTACCCTTCCAATCCCGTCCTCTACCATCCTCTCTCCATCCCGGTCTCCTCCCTCCCCTCCCGGCGCCCGACACGCCCTCCTCCCTCCCTCCCTCCCCGACGCCCCCTCCCCAACCCTCCCTCTCTCCTCCACTCTCCCCCCACGGCTCCCCCAGTGGTGCGCGGGTTGCCCATGGCCTTGGCCCAGCTCCCGGCGGTGGCTCCTCCCGGATCCAGCGTCGGGAAGGGCGCAGGGCGGCTCAGCCCCTCCCGGCGGCACGGAGCAGCAGCAGCAGCGGGTGGTGTCACGGATCCGCCCTCCTCCCCTACCTCCATGGCTCCACCGGCGGTAAGGAGCGCGACTCTCCTCCATCAGCGGGCGGCGCAACCCCTCTCCCTCACCTCGGATCCGGCTGGATCCATGGCGGGCGTGCCACCCGGCGGCTGGATCCGATGGAGGACGGCCGGATCCATGGTGGGCGCGCCCCTGGCGACTGGATCTGGTGGAGGGCGGCCGGATCCATGGCGGCCGCACCCCCCCACGGCTGGATCCGGTGGAGGGCGGCTAGATCCATGGCGGCCGCCCCCACCCCCTCCCGTGGTGGATCCATGGCCGACGCGCTTCCGGCGGCCGGATCTGTGGAGGTCTCGCCCTGGTCGAGACCAACGCGTCGCTGACCATCCGATGTTGGGGCCCGCAGAGGTAGCGCGGTGCATGCGAGGGCTTCGCCAATCGCGACCGCCCGCGACGCATACCCGCCATGGGGGCTTCCGAGCATGCACTGCGTCCCCCGCCCGGCGCGCGCTCTGCTTTCGAACGACGACGACGGCGTGGCGGCGAACACCTCTACCGTCGGCAGGGCCGCCAAAGGGACCTCTTCGGTGCGGCTGGCCGTCGGCGACTCCCAGCGTGCAGCGCTCCGTGGCCCAACCACACCGCGGTGTCTTTGGAGCCTCGGGGCCCACCACCACCTGTCTGAGCCCGGCGCCGGGATCTCCTTCCCGTTCCTCGTCGCCGGCGGCAACTTCACGTGCGGCATCGCGTCCAGCTCCTGTGATTTGGTCCGTAGGAAAATTAGGATCAATATTTAGGAAGAATGAGTTTTTGTCGGTCCATCGATTTAGCTAACTGTGTATTTGGTGATGTGATTTGTTTGCCAAACAGGGATAAAATCACAGCGTATTGAGATAAGTAGGGGCAATTTCACGAGAGGGTAAACTTGTCTTTCTCGAGTCCAGTTGACACCGTTACATTATTCACGGAATAAGGATAAACTTAAGCTTCGTTTTCAAAAAGCAGGGTAAAATCACTGCGATGACAAAAGCAGGGGTAAAATCACAACTGGACGTCCAAGTAGGGGCAAGAACGCAATAACCCCTTAAAGCCATGTATCTATAAAACATAAGTACTTTTTAAAAAAAACCCTGCAGTTTCTACTAAGACTACTAAGACAGGAAAAAATCTGCACGTCCCGCGGAAACTACACTGACCATGTGCTTCAACAGAAGAGCTATCCATGTTGTGTAATCTATATTTGACTATTTTAGAAAAAAAAACGAGAGTCCAACATGGATTTAAATAGCGGGCTATAGCAACGCTATAGCGCCGCTATAGCCTCTGGAGAGAGCTCCCGCTACGCTATTTCTATTTTTCCGCTATATCATTTATAACCATTATATTATGCTTTAACGTCGCTAAATTGATTAGCTGTGACTTTAAAATAGCGCTGCTATTTCAACTTTAGCTTTTAGAGTGACAATCTACTTATTATATATTTATCTTTTACTGTTAAGTTGATCTTTTAGAAAATTGAACACTTGAGTCTCACAAATTGTGCTATAATGTCATATTAAATAATATTCTCTAGACTCCTAAAGCCTTAAAAACATATTTGTGTTCAGTAATTTTCACGATTATTGTGTTTTTATGAAATAATTACTTGATTTTTTTACGGTTTTCTTAAAAACCGCTATCTGTCGTAGCTCCGCTATAGCTGCGCTATAGCTTTATAGCTTCTGGAAAAAAGATGCCGCTATTTACAATAGCCCACTATTTTAAACCTTGGAGTCCAATAACTATTGTATCTACCTTTATAAAATAGCAAGTCATGTATCCCGAAATTTTCGCATACTAGATATAACTTGCATATGCCGCTAGCCATTCGCCTCACTCTATTGAAAAGGCGGTTGGAGTTTTCTATTTTTTTGGCTGAGGTTTCTATTTTAAAGGTTGGCTAAATTACGAGTTTAGCTATCTATTTTTACCAACTCTGTTAGAGTTCCATCCTAATTTTCCAGTTTAATTATCACGATCAGCTACGGTTTCTCTTTGTTGTCGCTATCACCGCAGAGAAGAAAGGTCTCGTGACTTAATAATCACGAATTTTGCATGAACAATCTACTCCTGCGCGACACGGAATAGGAAGCTGGCTCTGCTCACCGACGGAGGAGGACGCGATGGCGGAGCCGCAGCCGAAGGTCTTGAAGCGCGCGTCGACGATCCTGCCGGACCCCTAGTCGACGCGGATCTGCAGCTTCATGACGTCCCCGCACGCCGGCACGCCGACGATCCCCGTGCCGACGTCCGCGTCGTCCTTGTCGAAGGACCCCACGTTGCGCGGGTTGTTGTAGTGGTCCACCACCCGCTCGTGGTACCCTCTGCTCCTGCCCACCGCCGCCGCCGCAGCAGCGACCGCGGGCGCCGGCGGCGCAGCCTCGCCGCCTCCTACGCCGAGAAGCCGCCTGCCCGCCGCGCGCAGTATCATGGCCATCGATAAGGCTCGGAGCTCGGATGAGGCGTCTCTGGATTCCCCTCCCGTTCTCTGCCCCCTCGGTTCCGTTCGGCTCCTTGGTGTGATCGTGTCGCGCGATGGGGACGAAAAGGAATGGAGAGAAGAGGCGTGTCATGGTTGGGCCCGGTACGCGGGGGATCGAAACGTGGCGCGTGGGGCCCGCAATGGCTAAGGATAATGGGCTGTGAAGGCAACGCGTGTACGTGGCGGACCGCAACGGGCGGCCATGAGGCGGTTCGCCCTGGTTGTGTATGGGCTTTTACTGGGCTCGCTTTGGACCTGGTTGCTATTTTATTATGGGCTGGCCCTTGAAGGGCTAAGTTCGCTTTTGGGCCATATAGAACCTTGGGCCACATTATTCGAGCGCTGAGAGCCACTCGAGCACCCCCAATATTCAATACACAAACTCATCCGTGCCTCGAATTTGTCTCACCATCAAATATCATCGAGTAAAACTCTAACCGTAGTAGGCTAAAAAAAACTCTCACTGTAGTAACCCCTCTGTCATTTAAAATATGTAAATTAAACTATAAATATGAGATGATCATCAACATTTATGACACATAAAATAGGTATACTATAAAAAATACAAGGTCAGTGTCAATATGAGTTCTACGTGAGTTCCATCTGCATTTAATAAACTGTCATATATGCATTTTGATGGCATGACAACGTTAAAAAAAGAGAGAAAAAGTGTAGTTCATATAAATGAAACTCTTCTGGCACGATCGTCAACGCTATATGAGTCATGAAATAAAATGTCTTTGAAACAATAGAATGAAACTATACACGAAGCAAATGAGCTTGTAGATCAATGGTAGGACTTCCAGTAGAGGAGCCACCCACCCAGGGTACGAATCCTCGGTGATGCACAATAAAAATCCCCTCGCTGGTGATGCCAGGGTTCGGGGGTTTTTGCGCGGTCGGAAGCTGTGGCTTTCCTCTTAATGAAAAACGGGTGGGGAAAAGAGCCCCCCCCTTCCAAGCGGTCGCGTTTTTTTAAACTATGCGTGAAGAATGGATAGGGGTGTTCGCTGTAGCTTTAATCTGAAGTGAATAGACCTGATGTTTCATTCATGTCTTATTTTATTTTACATGATATGATATTTTTGAAAACAACGTCAGAAACTCTTAACTAAGAATAGCCTAAGTATTATTATGTAAACTTAGTTAAGAATAGATAATTTAACTCAGAAGAAAGCTGAGATGATATTCTTTTGACTAATTTGTCATTTGTGGATGGCTGTAAGTTCCTAGTCGACAGGGCACTTTTGATATTCGCCCTGTTCGTTTAGACTGGTTTGGCTTATAAGCCATGCGTGAAAGTACTGTTGGCTGGTTTGGTGTGAGAGAAAAATACTGTTCGTTGGCTGATAAGCCATGGCTTATAAGCCAAATACGAGAAAGTGAACCGGCTGGTTGTCTAATCAAGTAGCATTATATTGTCCCACTTGCAGTTTGATTGCTTATCTTTTTGGTTCTATAGTCCATATGACACGCAGCATCGAAAGCGAACTCCTTATTTTTTTTGATCGAACACGTTGCTATAAGGTTGGCCGCCAGAAAGCACACCGGCCAACCCATGAAGACCGCTACCTCACTGCTCTGAAAACGATTTTTCTTCAGTGACCCGTAAGCCTCTGGGTAACTGATCGATCACTTGCTGGAATAGGTGTCCCACCTGGCTATAAATTTCCACATGTTGGGTCAGGTGATCTCACTGCAGCTGCAGCTAGCATAACACAAATCGACTACTAAGCCCCCATGACCAGCTGACCAGTGCCAGCTAGCATGAACATGAAGCTCGTTTTGCCTATCCTCCTCTTCCTGATACCAGAATTCAGTACCGTCATCAGTAGCAGCAATCCTCCACAGTTCGTCTACAACGGCTTCACCGGCAGCAACCTCACCCTAGACGGCTCGGCGAGGATCACGTCGGACGGCCTCATCGAGCTGACTAACGACACGTCCAGGATCAAAGGCCATGCCTTCTACCCGTCCCCGCTTCGCTTCCGTCATTCCCCGGACAGCACGGTGCAGTCTTTCTCCCTCTCCTTCGTGTTCGGCCTCCTCTCTTCGTTCTCTGACATCAGAGGCCATGGCCTTGCCTTCTTCATCGCCCCAAGCACTGATTTCACCGGTGCTTTCCCTATCCAATTCATGGGCCTTCTCAACTCTACTGACAACGGGAACTCAAGCAACCACATCTTTGCAGTTGAGCTTGACACCGTCCAGAACACCGAGTTTGGGGACATCGACAACAACCATGTCGGCATCGACATCAACAGCCTCAGCTCTCTCAAGTCCAGCACGGCTGGGTTCCATGACGACAGCAATGGAAGGTTCACAAACCTACAGCTCCGGGGAAGTGGTCCAATCCAAGCTTGGGTGGAGTACGACGGAAACACGACACGGATCGATGTGACAATAGCACCCCTTGGCATGCAAAAACCTGTGAGGCCACTGCTCTCCTTAACCTATAACCTCTCAACGGTTATAACAGAGCAAGCATACATTGGTTTCTCATCTGCAACGGGCTTAAGCACAGGGCATCATCACTCTGTGCTTGGCTGGAGTTTTGGCATGAATAGTCCAGCTCCAATCATTGACTCTGCAAAGCTACCCAAACTACCTTATCTCGGTCCAAGACCTCCATCTAGAATCCTAGAGATCACTCTACCGATTGCATCTGCGCTTTTCATATCACTTACCGGAACTATAGTTGTTCTACTTGTGAGGAGACATTTTAGATATAAGGAGGTGCATGAAGATTGGGAGGTCGAGTATGGTCCACACCGGTTCGCTTACAAGGATTTATACAACGCCACCAAAGGATTTAGTTCCAAGAACTTGATAGGGGTAGGTGGATTTGGTAGGGTGTACAAGGGAGTGCTTCCCACATCAAAATCAGAGGTTGCAGTAAAGAGGGTGTCGTATAACTCAATGCAGGGTACAAAACAGTTCATTGCTGAAGTCGTAAGCATGGGGCACCTCCAACATAACAATGTAGTGAAATTATTTGGGTATTGTAGGCGAAAAGGTGAGCTCCTTCTGGTGTATGACTATATGGTAAATGGAAGTCTTGACAGATACTTGTATGGTAAAGAGGGCAGGGCCATCCTTGATTGGGGACAGAGGTTTAGGATCATCAAAGGAATTGCAGCAGGGTTGCTCTACCTCCATGAGGAATGGGACAAGGTTATAATGCATCGCGATGTCAAACCAAACAATGTTCTTCTTGACAAAGAGATGAAAGCGCAACTGGGAGATTTCGGCCTCGCGAGGTTATATGATCATGGCACTGATCCACAGACCACACATGTTGTTGGCACAATAGGATACCTAGCTCCAGAGCTAGTACATAGAGGCAAAGCAACCACTCTTACTGATGTATTTGCCTTTGGAGTTTTTATTCTTGAGGTTACTTGTGGGAAAAAGCCGGTGACTGAAGACACCCAAGGCCATCAGCTCATGTTGGTCGATTGGGTGATTCAGAATTGGCATGAAGATAAACTCCTTGATGCTGTGGATATCAGACTCCAAGGTAACTATGATACTGCTGAGGTGTGCCTTGCATTGAAGTTAGGATTGTTGTGCTCTCACCCATTTCCGGATGCAAGGCCGAACATGCGGCAAGTCTTGCAGTATCTTGATGGTGACGTGCCACTACCAGAGCTATTGCCAGCACACTTTAGCTTTCATATGTTGACCTTAATGCAGGAAGGACAAATCGACTCGTCCACAATGTCATCATACCCATCACCGAGGATGACGGACTTTGGTTCAATATCCATCTCGCTAGATGGAAGATAATGAAGTGCCTTGCTTAGTAGTTCACTGCTTATCTCATTTAAGGCTTTACCATACAACTGTACCTGGGACAAATATATTCTGTGACCTAAGGATGTACATCCAACATACTCCTGGTAAAGCATATTAGTAGAAGAGGATTGTACTGAAAAATATGATGTTCTACATAGAGTTGCAAGGAAAATCCTATTGCTATTCAAATTCAATGCTTCATATTAAATCTATTTGAGATAGATATGCTTTTTGGCGCATGGATGTACATGAGTAAATTATTATCTACATGTGTAGGACAAGTCATGAGAGATCAAGGACATGAAGAATACAAGTTCAACTAAATTATGATTGAAATATGTTAAAATATTTAGGACGCTAATACTTAAAATCCCGAAGATTGCAATATGTAGGGTTCACCAAACCAGCAATCAAGGACTTCCAACCCTCACTACTACAAACGACGGGTAATGTGGTTGCTCAAGTAAATATATTATGAAAAATACGTTTCATGACGAATCCAGATGAATCCGAAGATGACGACACGTCCCAACATGGTCAGTCCGAAGATGACGAACTCGGCCATTGCATGGTACACCTATTGTTGGACCATGCTGGCGCAACGAAAAGTTTAAACTAATAATTTCACCGAGCTGGAAGTGAACGCTCCAGTCCTGTGCTGATGTGCTCGCTCACCCGCGCGCTTCTGCTCACCGGCCAGGACGCTGGGGAGGGATTGAGCGGAGAGAAAGAGATGACCACCGGACAAATGGACGATTGGCTACGATCCAACTAGAATGCACACGGAAAATTATAAAATAAAACTGTAGTTTCTATAGGTGGTGTTTTCCTGTAGAAACTACTCATGAAAATTATGGGTTGAAACTACCCTAAGAATGATATATGGTCTAGGCTTTCTTGATTCAGTACTCCCTCTGTTCTAAAACAAGCGCACTTTCAATACTAAAATTTTGTCACATAACACGTGCACCTTTAGGTCATGGACCACCTAACACTAGTAGGTTTTCTAATTTCTATATTTCTAAGGTATAATTATTATATGCTACTACCACTTCCGATATGGGTATGTATATGTAATTTTATAGTAGCATTGATCTCTCCAACATATGTTGGAAATATACTTGTTTTGAGACGGAGGGACTCATATGATGACTCAA